TCTATCAAACTCAACCCAACATCAAGCAAATAAAACACTTCTCATAACTCAATTTATGTGTATCACTAAATCATAACTACTAATCTCATTCAACAATTTAATGAATACACATATATATATAACTCTACTTAAAAGAGTTCTTAAATCTCAACTTAGGTGGATTTACTTACCTTATAGGGAAATAGCTTCTTTAACACTTCTTCCTTCATTTGGGAGCTTGCCTTTTCTTTACAACTTAACCAACAACCACAACATGAGACTCTAATCAAAACATAATAAAACTCTCATCTAAAGCAAGAATCCTTACCTTAGGATGCTTTAGATTAAAACCCTACTAAAAGTTACTCAAAAAGGCTCTTGGAAATCCTTGGAAGATTGAAGGAATTTGAGAGAATTTGGAAAATGAAGGAGGCGGTGGAATGGGAAAATGAAGAGTTCTCAAAGATTAAACCCCCTTAAATATCTCTTAACAACTCATTCTTCCCATTTTACCCTTGCTCTTTCTTAGAAATTCCATCCATATCCTTTGATTCCTTACAAACACACCCCCATACTAACATATTCTCCATGAAATTTCCTTACATTTTATTCCCCACTTTTCCTACTAATTAGGGGTAAAATGGTCAAATAGTATCCAAGGGAAAAATATCTAAAAATTAATAAACTTTTCAACCGGCACGTCGCAGCGGCGAAGAATCTTCCTTCGCCGCGGCGAAACTGTCCAACAGCTTCCCCCATAGCTTCAACACCTCTTCGCCGCGGCGAAGAGTATCCTTCGCCCCAGCGAGCCCTGTAACATCAAAAGCCTTCTAACTTTGACTAAATCCAAGGCAAAAACTCAACATTTCAATACAACCTAAGACTAACCAACCACTATTCACAAAAATCGACTCAATTAAGAGCGAAGTAAGAAACATTAGCAACATACCTCAAGTGGGGCGTTACACATGTATAATAAAGTGAACAGAAATTGTAAAAGCTGAAATGTATTTCATTAATGTGGAGTACAACAGACAAAATGGCATGACTATAAGCCCTAATCCGGCTCCTAGAGGGCCGACCTCGTTGTCCTAGGGCTGGTCGGTTGAGGGTTTATCCGAGGTGTGTCCCGAATCTCCTGCTCGAGAGGCCACCGTTTCATCATCCTCCAGCGCCATGGACAGGAGTGTATCTCGCTAGTCTTCCGGGAGGTCGGACATGTCAAGTCGCAGATTCTTCAGTCGCAAGGGATAAATAGACTTGATCGCCCATTTGACAGCCTTCTCCTCGACCTCCGCTGCCTGATTCTGCATCTTTTGTGTCAAGGAAGCCACTTTTCCTTGACTTGCCTGAAGTTTAACTTCGAGAGCTTACCTTCGCTTCCCGGAGGCGTCCCTCTCTTGTTCTGTTTGCAAGGCCTGTAGAGAGGTCGCTTTGAGCTCTTGGTCCTTCTCCCCGGCCTCCTTGGAGAGTCTGGCTATGGTCCTTTGTAGCTCCTTTATTTCCTCTCCATGATTCTCAAGTTGCGCTTTTTGGAAGTCCACCGTACAAAGAGCCGTGTCTCTTTCGTTTAGGTATCGATTCGCTGACTCAGAAGACAGGTTTCTCTCTGTTTTGGCGGCTTCCAAGCTTCGCTTGAGTGTTGCGTTCTCTTCCTTCAGAGCAACGCCTCCCTTTGCAGCTCCCAGTTGAACCTTCTCCAAGGACATTCGCATGGAAAGAAGAGCCTGCAAACAAAGAAAGATAGAGTTAGCTAATTAAAAGAAGCTAAGGGTAGTCCTCGCCGGGGATAGTTCGTTCACCTTGCTTAAGTGTTGGACCGATGTTGACATTAGGTCCACGTCGCTGGAATCTGCGAACTGCTCAAATGATTCCGAGAGTCCGCATTCCAATAAGGCGTAGACCACCGGTTGCAGGTACTCCGGTAGGTTCCCCAGCGAGTGCAACACTGGAGTATCCTTCTTCGCGGCTTTAGTAGTGGTCGTGTCATCCATCGATTCCTTACCCGACCTCCTCTCTTTCGGTCGTGACCTTTTTGATTGATCGCCCTTAGATTCGGTCTCTGAGTCTTCGACCTGAATCTGTCTCCTTTTCTTTCGCTGGGCCATTATCTTCAGCCTCGGGCGAGCAGGCGATGGCTGGGAGACCTTCGTGGTTTGTATTAGTATGTCCTCTGACAATTGTGCCTGAGAAGTTCTGGAAGGTCACGCTGGTGGGCCCGATGTTGCGCCTTCAGCCGGGGGAATGGTTGGAGCAGCATCGGTCGCTTTGGCTTTTCTTGTTTGAGGGAAATTAAGCGGCCTTCGTCGCGGCTGCTCTGACTCCTTCGGAGGCATGGTCGCTGCATGCAAGGCATCATTAGCAAAGATATCTCATTTCACGACCAGAAAGGGACTAGTTAGCAGGACTTACTTAATGAGGGCTCTAACCACGCGTTTGTGTTGAAGAAACCGTATTTTCGCAAATTCGCGGTCGTCACAAGTTTCTTCGCATCACGCTTGTCCTCAGGTATGGAGCTGAAATGCAAGATCCTACTTCTATCAAAGAGCAACCCTAAGTCAGTCGTCTTGTTAACTGTCAGAAAGGAATCAGGTCGTTAGAAAGAGCACATTTCGAGTGTAATGGATTTGTCAAAAAAAAAAAAAAAAAGAGGCCTACTCGAATCCTGGAAGCGACAATGGCCATCATAATGAAAGAAGAAAAACTTCGTTTCATAGGCCCCCACGTTGCTCGGGTAACTGTGTATCCCCTTGGCGATAGTAGGTCGCCTGGACAAGTAGTAAGAGTCCTTGTCATTGCTCTTTTTCAAAAAATACGAGCAGTCGACCTCCGTCGCGGTCAGCTAGCCCAACCCATTCTCGTGGCACGCGATGTACATTGCAACGACAATGGCATACGCGTTCGGAGTTAGCTGCATCGGTGCGAACCCTAAGTGGTCCAAAAGCGACCTGATGAAAGGATGGAAGTGGATCAGTCCCCCACCCTTGATGATCTCCTCGGAGACCGTGGCCAAACCACTTAGCGGGTATCACGATGAGTGTGCCACATCGAGGAAAAGCATCCACCTCAATACTATACTGTTTTATTACCTTCTCGAGCTCATCCCTATTAAGTAACAAGAAGACCTCGATAGGGATACTTGGAGCACCTTGTGGGGACGAATCGGTTCCCTGTTCAGATCTGGTTGTTGAGGGGTTCATTTTGCTGGTCTGCAAAAGCAATAAGCAGAAGGGTCATTTAGCCGCCGTACGCTATTTCGTACGATGATGTAGGAGGAAACAAACTCCCTATATCCCAAAGGAAACCCTAACGGCATGATTCGAGCCGCCATTCATGGCTCGAACCCGACCTAAGCATCTCGTCTCGGATAAGCTACCGGAAGACAGACGCCATTCAACCATGGAAAATAATGAAACAAAAACAGAGAGAAGCTCTTACCTCTCAGAGTATGAGAATAGCTTCCGCTTCGAATACTGGAAAAATGTTGGTTTGAAAGGCAGAGGTTCCAGGTTTGCAAAAATCTTTTACTCTCTAAGAAAAAGGCTCTGGTGACATTGCCCGAGAAAGACTCGAGGTTTTTATAGCGTATGAATCGGCGTTTGGATTTCTTGGAATCGAAACGGTGTTAGGGCAGCAAAGGTTTCTCACCGTTGATCACGGCCACGTGTCGTGCATCAGCGGGGAAGAGTGAGCATCACGACTTGATGAAGTCAAACCTTCATCTTTCTTGTTGAAAAGCTCAAATGACGGCCATCTCTCTTTCTCAGAGCATTAATTGCGTCTCATATCTACATTTAATGCTCTGATAAGGGGCGTCGTTCCAACGTATAACGCATTTAATGTCCTGATAAGGCATACTGTGTCAACGTACAATGCATTTAATGCATCTGGCTGGCACTTATCATGCACAGGGCACATCTGTTAGCGCAGAGACTGTTTCATTAAATGCGCCCATATCAAAAGCACAACAGGTGACGTCTAACGAAATCAGGTTGCTCGTCCTCTGCAAACAATGATCATGCGAGGTCGTGTTCGCAAAAAAAGTGCCGTTCCAACCTACTTTTAGACAGGTCGGAATCACTAGAATTTCCAGAATTTCCAGGAATCATCCAATTGCGGCATGACTTGTAGTTTTCAAGGTTCGATTCTCAAACCTTAAAAACTAGGGGACTTCTGTTATGCCTGGGAAAATAGGGCTGACGTGGCACCCAGTTAAGTGTGAAAGGTCAGACCTCGGGAAGAGTTTACTGACATTCTGGCGCAACCGTGTCATGTGATCATGGTTGCACCCACAGCCTGCTTCAGTCAAAATAATGGGTGCACGTCAGCCCAGCCAGGAGTTGTGACGATCCCGCATGTCCAATTCCTGCAGCAAATCACGTGAATTACTCTAGAAGATGGATAATGTGACATAAAGAAGGATTTGCACGAATCATCCCACTAAATTACAGATTCAGTGATCATTACCTCAAGGCATCCCACTATAAGTTGAGAGCTCCTCTCTCATTAAGGGGATTCGCACATTTACTCTTGACCAATCTCTCTCTCTCTAGAATAGACAGCCTTTGATACCTTGTATCATCAGCGTAAAGTCAGTCGTCTAAAACGACCTGACCCTTATCATTAATAAAACCATCAGTGGACGTATGATTTGCTTCCTTAGCATCCGAACAACTTTAAAACTCCTTTCTCACTGCATTTACTGTCATTTTCCTTTTCATTCATGTGTGTCTTTTGGGCCAACTCAATATTTCACACGTGCGTTTCGTTGGTGTCAAAATCGCGCATCAACAAACCGTAACGTGATGAGAAAAAGATCCTGATAATAAATGTTGAGATCTATTTAGTCACAAATTACATTTACTTCTGAATTAAGATGTGAAAATAATTATTGAACATTAGAGAACAACTTAAAAAAAAAAAGAATTGCAGAAAATAAAATACATTCCGGCGGCATTATAATTAAACTAGTGCCACAGAGACACAAGTATGTAACAGGAAAATGCATGCATAGAAACTAGCTAGGGCGCACATATGAAGTCAGAGGGGAGATTTTTCCCGCAGGTGTTGATAAGCAAGCTGAGCGAGAATGGGATATTTATGTTAATGCCAAGAACATTAGCTTTAATGGCAGTGCAAAGGCACACCGCAACTTCAAGATCGAGAAGGCCTTGTAGTACTGAGCAACAAGGAGTATCAGGTGGGTTCCCAACTGCTGCACCCACCACTTGACAATTAAGCAACCTGGCGCAGACTCCCAGGTTTGGAGCATCTCTTGGAGAACTTTTGGTAGATGTAGTTGGATTTGTTACAGGGTTTAGGTTTGGCTTTGACTGAACACAAGTGTTGCAGCCGCTAACTAGCACGAAAAACAGAATGTTGATAGACAGGAAAAGAGTAATTGGTAAAGATCGCTTCGAATCCATTTCACTAACTTCGCTAAAACCTACTTGATTAGTTTGTTCTTGTCTTTTTGAAGAAGAAATAGGCCTTATGTTGACATGTGAATGACTGTACAAACCATATTTAGGAGATTTGTAGTATTCTCCAAATATGTAGTTTAGATAATTGCCTTGCATGTATTGATCTACATTTATTTCCTTTATTTGATTTCCTTACATCTTACATTTACAATTGTATAAATTGTAACTCCTGTGCATGAAATTATATATACAAAAATTATTTTTCTCTCCTTCTTCCTTGATTGTACTTTCTCGACATACTCAGCAACTTTGGTTGCTTCTCTTGCCTCTCTACTTGCACTCTTTGGTAACTTAGATGCCTCTTTGTGCTTGCTACAACACCAGATTGTTACACCTTATATACAATAATAAGGTGTGTTGTTACAAAATATTTACAAAGAGAGACAAGCCATGCATGTGAAGCAAGGCTGGCCTCGAATGCAACTATAGCTGGCAAAGTTGATTAAAAATTAAGAATCCGCATATGAGTTAATATTATATATATGCTCAATATACTGTTTTTGATTCCGTGACTTGAATCACAAGATTGACTAATTGGCATATTAGTCTCGTGACTTTAACAGTCCAGCATGGTATATTGTCTTTTCTTTATTGGGGACAAGTATTTTTTTTTTTAAGAAACTATTGGGGACAATTTAAATAGTGTAAATATTTAGATGAGTTAATTATAATTATTAAAAGGTTAGTCAAGTATAAGTTTCTATTTGTCATGATGAATTTTCTTTTTGTGGAGCATATATGATATATTGTCTTTTTCTTTTACAATAATTTTGTCCAAAATTATTAGGATATACATGATGAAACTTATTTTAATTTGTTTCTTTCTCTGGATGGATATTATTATAGTGAAACTTAATTATTCTGATGTAAGCAGATTTTTGCATATAATACTGTGTATGTGATTGTGAAAGCCTGAAACGTTACATATATGTTATCACCTTACCATGACAAATTGCTCTTGATAGACCACTAGATATTACGAAGAAATATTTGGAAATTAAATTAAACTATACATTCTTGATAGGGTTTCTTATTGCAGGCCCAGATCATCAGGATCTAGAGATGGCAATGGGTTGGGCCGGGATCGGGTACCCCTTGGCCCGAGTCCAACCCCTATGACTTGGGCCTGTTGCAGGGATGTTGGGTAATGCCCAAGCCCGATGCGACGGGCTTTTTGTGACTCCTAGCCCGACCCATATTAATTTATATAATTTTTTTGCTCATGGGCAATTTTTTATATATCTTTGTCATTCATATTAATTTAATTAATCGCATCTCTTACGTTAATCACCATTCTTTTTGTTGTATAAATTAATATGATGGATAAGAGATATTGAGTTTGACTAAAATCGCAATTGATTATTATCATAAGTTCATTTCAAAATCATAATCAAATAAAATAAAACTTTTTTTTTTTTTTTTTAAAATGATAAAAAGTACGGGCCAGGCTGGGCTGGGTACCCGAAAATCCAGGTACAATTGCCATCTCTATCAGGATCATTGAATTTCATTCACTGTAGAGTTAGGATGAGATTTTTATATTCTGATAATTTAAGGGGAAAGAAAAAGATATGGAGGGATTCAAGCCTCATTTTATAAATACTTTCCAAGTCAATATTCAGTTATTAAAGGAATAAATTTATATATTCTATAGTTATTCTTCCCAGAACTAATACGTTCAATTCGGTGATTGCAAACTGAGTTAGATGGGCGAAGCATGGAGGCTATATTAAGTAAAAAGGAAAGCATGATTAGTGATTAGGTCTAAATTATGCATAGAATAAAATTGGATTTTAGGCTCAATTGGATAAAAACATTAAAACTGTTATGTTAAGATAAATGGGTTGACCCCAAAAATAGTGAATTCGGAATTGTGAAAAAGATTTTAGAAGGGTGAAGAAGATTATTATTGACAAAAGTAAAATCTAGAGTAATTTTCAAAAGAGTGGTGTTACTTAAGATCCATTCAAACTTTTTGTAAGCTTTTAAATTGATAAAAAATATTAACTTTAAATAAATAGCAATTTATTTTTCAATCATACTTTCTTTATTCTTTTTAGCTTACTATTATTCTCTATGATAATAAGTGATAGATCAAAGTACAAATAAATCATGAGATTTTAAATGAAATAATGATGCTTACTTTTTTTTCTTTTTCATTTGTTTTCTTTGGGAAGTTATTAGAATATTAAAGTAGTTTGGTTTTACTGGTTTACCCTTGTCTGGGATTTACTGATTTACCCTTGCCTTGTATTATAAAAGGCTTGTAAACAGTGAAAGCTTTAATAAGAAAAAAAAAACGAAAGTTTCAGTCTTCTTCTTCACTTGCTCTGTTTCTTTTCAGCTCATTAGGTTTACATTTCATCTCTAAATCAACTTGGTATCAGAGCCACTGACCAAACTCGAAAAGGCCGATCCATCTCCAATTTCTTCTTCCTTTGACAAAGCAAATAACGATTCAAGTCTCAAACACTCCTTTGATTCAGTCAATTTCTCCAATTCTTCTTCTTTCTCCTCTTCAACACTTCCGGTAATCTCACCAAAATTGACAAGAGATAACCACCGTTTCTGGAAATCACAGATTCTGTTTGCCGTTGGAGCTCATGGACTCGAAGAACACCTCATGGACTGTATCATGTCCCGCACCCTTTGTTCGTGTTCAAGGATAGCTCAAGTTCAGAGGTTCACAAAAAACCTAATTCAGAGATACTTTGGAAAAGAAATGATAAATTAATGGTGAGTTGGTTATTATCTTCAATATCAGAGTCTATGTTTTCTGCGATCTCTAAGTGTCAGTTTGCAACCGAGATATGGCGACCTTGGAAAAAGAATTTCTTACCGAATCAAAAGTAAAAACATGCATGTTAAGAGTCATTGCAAAACACGAAAAAGGAGGTTTAAGTATGCATGCTTATTTCCTAAAGATGAAAAGTTATGCTGAGAGTTTGATTGCTAGTGGTGGTTATTCACTGATGAAGAATGTTGAATTACATATGGATGGTAGATTCTGAATATGATGCGGCAGTTGTTAACATAACTACTAGGCTTGAATCTAAGGTTGATCCGATTACTGTGCAAGAAGCTCAAATTGTTTTGAAGACGTAGAACTTAGGCTGGAAAAAGCTAATAGTACAATGAATTCCTTGGTTCAGAATGAATTCAACAGTTCAGTAATATTGCTAGTCTATCTACGAACAATGAACAGACAAGTTCAATCTGTACCAACATTCTCTACTAATCTAGCTCCAACTCCACAATCCTCTAAGTTCAACAATCTGGTAAACAGTCATACGCTGCCCTAATCAGAATCAGTAGTGAATGCACCCTCTCAGAATCAATTCATGCCACCTCAGAATCAATTCTTTACTTCACAATTTACTGGAGGAATTCTGGCGGCAGAGGAAGAGGTCGTGTAGGAGGAAGAAACAGATTTATCTGTCAAGTGTGTGGTAAAACTGGTCATCTGGCTTTGAACTGCTACCAAGGTTTGATGTTAATTTCTTAGGAAACTCTCAATGTACGGAACAATTTAATCCTCATGGATTTGCAAGAGCACTGAACCTTATCATGGAGGGTTTTATCCTTCCTATCTCCTAGCATAATCACAAACTGCCAATGCAGGCCAGTTGCCACCATTTCAGAGCCAGTTACCACCATTTCAGAATGTCTATCAGAATCAGCAACCTCCAGTTTCAACAATCCCTGGAGCTTCCTCTAGCAACACTGGCTTACTGTCTAATGTTGGACCTTCAAATATGTCTAATCAGGGTGTTATGGCTCAGTCTCAGACTTATGATCAGGACACAATCAGACTCCAGCAGCCATTAACTACATAGCTACACCATCACTGTAAGAGATGCTGCTGGTACATGGACTCTGGAGCAACAGACCATGTTACCTCTGATTTTTCCAACTGACAACAAGCTCAATTACACAGGAGGAGAACAGCTTCAGGTTGGCAATGGTGAGTTGCTAACTATTTCATATACTGGTTCTACTATATTAGCCTGTTCACATGGAATTTGTATCTTAGAAATGTTTTGTTTGTCCTAATATTACCAAAAATTTACGTGTTTCCAAATAACTAGAGATAATGATGTCTTGGTTGAATTTTTCAATGATCATGTGTTGTTAAGGACAAATCTCCCAAAGCAACTCCTCAAGGAGTTCTTAAAGCTGGTTGTACCAACTTCAAACTCCAGTCTGTCCTACTTCCATTGCAGCTTTGTCTCCTTTAGTGTCCTCTCACACAATGCTCAACATCACAGCACCAGCTCTGCCTCATTTTCTTGCTCTTCCAATCAAGGTCTCCTTGATTTTCTCAACAATCACCTTGATTTCTCCAACTCTCAATAATTGTAATAAAGATTGTACGTCCAATAAGGGCAAAAATTGTAGAGAATACACTGATCTTGCCATGTATTCTAGTTTGTCTACCAAGCAATGTACCCTCTTATGATGTAGCATCAAATAATGAAAGTACTGTTTTGCAATCTTCTGTTCTTGACAAGGTTGTTACCACTAAGTTAGATAATTTTCAATCTTTTCCTGTCCAGAAAACTGACATTATGATATGGCATAAAAGGCTGGGGATCCTAACTACTTAGTCCTACTTAAATTCTTAAAAATTTGGAGATCCCCTTTCACACAAAAACTGACCTCACATTTTGTACAGCCTGCCAATATGGTAAATTGCATCAATCTGCCTATCCAAAATCTACCTTTCAAGCCT